TTCCGGGAGGCTGGGCGCTTCATTCCCAGGTTTTTTGAAGACAAACGGAAAAGCAGATTCAGGGATAACTGGGCATTGCCATGGCAACAGAAGGAGACTTGGCCCTGAAACCTGAGGGCCAGGGAAGGGGCCGCCTCCTGCCAGCACGCTCTGGCCAGGTCATGTGGGCCTCGGGCTCCGCTTCCAACCTTAACAGATGATGGAAAAGCACCAGAAACATTAAACGTTAAGGTGATCATATCACTGAAAACGTGCAGCCCCCGGGGAAGGATAAAATGCGATCCTTTTAGAGCAGTGGTTCTCAACCTCGGCTGCACATTAGAATCACCTGGGAATCTTTGTAAAATCCTGGTTTCTGGGCCTCATCCTCCGGAAATTCTGTTTTTTTGTTACTAATGTTGTGGCCCCACCCCATAACAAAGAAACAGAATTTCCGGAGAATGAGGCCCGGAAATCAGGATTTAAAAAGATTCCCAGGTGATTCTAACGTGCAGCCAAGGTTGAGAACCACTGTCTTAGAGGGTTTTACAAGGAGATTCATCATTATAAGTGAAAATAGATGCCTCAAACAGGCAGAAGAAATCGCCCAGTCATATTTAAGTCCCTAATCACGAGCCCTGAAATAGTTATGCCTCAGCAGATTCGATCCCAGATTTAGTCATTCTTTTCTAATCAAACACAATTATGTGAATTAAATGCTCTCAATAACTCCCGGCAATTAGATCTCGCAGTGCACCTGGCTGCCTCCATTGCCAGCAGCAGAGCAGCGCGGGGAAGCAGAGAGGGAGAGAATGGAAATAGAGACGGGAAGGGACATGGACGAGACAGCCCTCAATTACGGAAAATCAGATGGAGGGTCAGGATCTGGGGCACAGACAGCAGACAACCTTTCCACGTTCCAAAAGGACGGCAAGGCCGCTGCTCTAAAAATAAACCCGCGCTGAAGAACCAGAGGTGGAAGGGCAGGTGATTTGTTTTAAAGGCAAGCACCATGGCCCCAGGGTTTGCTGATAGTGATTCGATTTACTTTCTAAGTTACATGGAAGCAAGACCAGCAGCACTGCATCCTCTGTGAGCTACACGTTGGTTTCAGGAGCAAAGGACTCTGAATGGACAGCGTGAGGAGCTGCACGTTCGGAACAGAATACAGTGCTGGTCCGAGTGACGGCCCAGATTAAAGTGAAACTCGAGGGGAAATGACACCAGGTTCACCTCCTCCCAGCGCCGTCTGATGCTCGCACTTGCCGCCCGAGACACGGTCAGAAGCCGCACAGCCCCGGGGACTCACAGGCTGAGTTCAGGGCGGGCTTTGCTTCCGCCCGGTTCTCTCATCACACTTCTACCCGGCACCACATGCCTCCGTTTGTCCATCTGCAAAGTGGGTTTCCTGGTTGCCACTGACCGATTCTGATCTCCCATTAAAACCAGAGAGATTGTCATGTGGGGAGGGGCTTGCAGACCCTACCAGTCGGGTTGGTGGGAGCTCAGAGGTGGCTGCAGTTACTTAGTGTGGCATTTCCGTGTGCACACGTGGAGGGCAACTTCCTACCTACGGCAAATCCATTGGTTCAACCAGGACATGCTTTCAGCCCCTGCAAGCTGAGGGTCACAGGCTGTGTCCCAGCCATTCCTGCCCCCCCCTTCCCTGTCTCAGCTGCCCAGTGGGTGCCATGGAGGGTCCGTACCCCCACAGAAGTTAGCGTGGGGGTCCCTGCAGTGTTGCAGCTACGCCCTGGTCAGCGGGACAGTCCTGGGGCAGGAGAGACAGACTGACTTGCCCCAAGAAGAGGAGACAGGAAGAAAGCTCATTTGCCAACCAGCCCCCGCCCCCCAGGGCCTCTCTAGCGCCCCAGGAGGAAGAGGAAGAGCCAACCAAAGAAGGACCAAAAAAAAAATAAAAATAAAAGTCCAGGTAGAGGAAGCAGGGTAGACAAAGGCCAGCAGCAGAAGAGAGAGGCGTTACCCTGGCTGGCTCACCCCGAGGAGGCCTGCCTGCTTCCTGCTGCAGCCCTGGGGTCAGGGGAAGGCAGGCGACCTCCAGCTGAGCCCGCCCCAGCCTAACAGGTGCTCTGTGAACACGTGTGGTGAGTGAGGATGGATGGGGGGATGGGGGGAGAGACAATGCAGGAGGCGGGGTTGGGGGGGGGGGACTGGCCGGGGAAGACAGATTTGACCCCGGGGCCATGGGAGCCCCGTGGTGTTAAAAGCTTTAAGGAGGCTTTTACTGCGTCTGACATGCTCTGTTTTAGAAAAACAGGTACTGTTCAGGGACAGACCATTTCCCCGCATTTAAAAATCGATGGTGTGTTGTTATCACTTCCTTAAATCACTAACGTTCGCATCAAGGTACCGACTGTCTCCTGTGGAGGATGAATGAGCCATGATGCACGTGGACCAACGCCAATAAACCCCGACAAGAACATATCAGCACGTAGCGGAGTCCTGAGGGGCCAAGCAAAGCAGAGACACGCGGATCCCGCAGTCACAGACACCGTGACGGCCGACAACGGCTGCTCCATCGCCCTCTCTCCTGGCTTTCGGCCGCGAGCGCTCAGCCCGAAAACGCAAGACGCCAAATAAGGACGTTTGAACCCACTGCCCTTTTACAGGAGGGGAAGTTGGGGTGGGAAAGGGAAACCGTCACTTAAACGTGAAATGTAAGCCTGGCTCCCACAGGGAATTGACTTTCTGACCAGAGGAAGATTCATGACTTCTCTGCTCTCCCCTGCAATCCTTCATGCACACGGGGCAGACGTGCGGAGCTGGGCACCGAGCGAAGCCAGGTGTGACCGGCTAATCAATGTGCCTGGAAGCCCCGGGCACTGACTTCACCCTCAAAAGCGCATCCCTCGGAGGGAGGGGCCGCCTTCGCAGGGATCCGCTGGCGTGGTGTCCAGTCAGGCCTGGAGGTGGGGCGTGGTCTGTGGCAGTCTCTCCCCTCCACCCGGGTGCCTCCCATGGAAACGCTAAATAACTTGTATATCCACTCTACCAAATATTGTGAAATCATTCAACTGGTAATTATGATCAGATTTAAATAGTGTAAATATGATTCTGATAGACTGTTCAAATAAGAACTGAAGATGTACGTGTATTATGCAACTATGTAAAACATATCTTCATTTGGCAAGAACTGGGAGAAATGTGTAAACACAGAAATAATTACATTAGCGAATGAAGAGTATGGATACAATTTTTAAGTTCTTATATTGTTCTTCATGTTGCAGAAGAGTCCAATGAGATGGTCTCGAAGCAGCACTTTCAGCAAAGGCCAGGGCACTGGGAGACCCTGCGTTGTCTTTTCCTGGCATCCGGGCTGCTTGATTCCGTCTGTCCACACTCAGGCCTTGCTCTAGGGTGTGTTTGAATCACGTCACTAGTCTTGAGTTATATCTTAAATTACAAGTCGGTCACCTGCCCTGGGTAGAAGCACAAGTATGACACTCAGAGATTCAAAGAAACAGTGGCAAATTGGCAATTATTTTTAGTTGCAACAATTAGAGGATTCTGTGAAAGAGTGGACAATGGAATTCTTAAACCTGCGAGAACGTCTCACAATCTATTTCCACCAAAGCCCAAGCTTGTTAAGAGGAGAAATCAATAGAATCATTTTTTTCCCCTAAGAAATCATGATCACATATCAGATGCAATCTGGTTAGGTTAATCGGATTTAGGAAGTGTTATCCATGAGTAACAATGTTAAGACACTGTTTATTTGAACTAATAACATCTGAAGGAGAAATCAAATAAGAAAGTCCTCCAGTTTGAATAAAAGAGTCAATAACTGGACACGCACACCCACCAGAGGCTAAGTGGCCCCGGGAATGAGCTCTGCTGGCAGGTCAGTTGTGTGGCCATCTCTCCTGGGTACAAATTGTGGTTACGTTCCAATGGGAGAGTGAATGTTGGGAGCCATTTAGCCATCGGTGGTCACAGGAGGCACCGAAGAATTTTAAGGGAGTGATACGTTAGGTCTGTGGTGTGGGCATCTCGGTGGCCCCGACACATCAGAGGGAAGGTGTGGAGCAGGGAAGGTGGACAGCAGGCAGGGAGCAGCCAGGGGGTGCCGAGCCAGAGAACAACTAAGAGCCAGACCCGTTCACTGTCTTTAACTGAGTGGATTTTGCAGGTGGTCCCCGAGGAAGCTGTTTTATAAGAGCGGTAGGTGGACACAGGACCTGGGGGACAAAATGCCAATATGTTGCCCCTTTTGTTGACCGAGGACCTACATCCGTTGGAAAGTGCTGCAGGGAAGGGATAAAGGAAGCGATCTGAGCAGAGGAAGGCGAAGAGGAGAAACTGCAACATGAAAGCTCTTCCAACAGGCACCCCGGCACCTGGCAACAGGCACCCCGGCACCTGGCCTCGGGAGTAACGCTATTTCTCTAGTATTTCCAAACCAGACGTGGCACTCGTAGACATTTTTATATTCAAGCCCTTAATCTAATCCGCTTTCTCCATTGCATCCAGTTCATCCCACTCCCTCGTGTCCTCGGTGACCGACAGGAGCAGCGCTGCCCGGCACTGGTGTTGCCCAGAGTTAACTGGCCAAAGGCAGAAGGGCTACCTGGGCCTTTTTAGCTCTTCTTTTCACGATTTCCAGCAAGATACGGAGGCCTCGGCAGTCTCACAGCGGAGAGAACAGGCGTGACTGAGGGGAACACACTTCTTCCCAGGCCCATCCCAGGCCCAAACACAGCTGCTGACCCTCAGGGCTGCGGAACCCTCAAGGGGCGGAACCTGTAGGAGGCGGAATCCGAAGGAGGCGGAATCCGAAGGAGGCGGAACCCGAAGGAGGCGGAACCTGAAGGAGGCGGAACCTGAAGGAGGCGGAATCCGAAGGAGGCGGAACCTGAAGGAGGCGGAACCTGAAGGAGGCGGAACCGGGAGTGGCGGACAAGGTCAGGGATAACCAGGGGTGGTGGAATCTTGGAACCGGCGGAACCAAGTGGCGACGCCCACGGAGCCGCCCGGACTGTGTTGGGAGCGGAAGTGCAGAGGTCCCCGCTTCCGGATTGGCGTTCGGCCCCGAGCGCCCGGGCTGCCGCGGCGATGTTGCCGCTCACGGTGAATTTCAAGGTGTCGGCCCGCACCCTCACCGGGGCCCTCAGCGCCCACAACAAGGCGGCGGTGGACTGGTGAGGGCGCCGGGCCCCGAGGCCAGGAGCTTGAGGGACGGGGAGCGGCCGCGGTGTCACCCCGGTCCGTTCGGCCTCGCCCGGACGGGGTGCCGCCCTCCCATCGCGGAGAGTTTCTCTTCGCGCTGGTTGTTGTTGCTCTAAGACAGCGGTTCTCAGCCTCGGCTGCACGTTAGAATCACCTGGGGATCTTTGTAAAATCCTGATTCCTGGGCCTCATCCTCCGGAAATTCTGGTTCTTTGTTACTAATGATGAGGCCCAGGAATCAGGACTTTACAAAGATTCCCAGGTGATTCCAATGTGCAGCCGAGGTTGAGAACCGCTGCTCTAGGGTAGTAACTGCCTCGTGTGGGCACGTATATTTGCCCCGTCCTTTCTCGCATCTTTGTTTCTCTGCCCCACACCCGCCGGAAACACCCCATTTCCTCTCCTCCGCCCCCCGCGGCCCTCTCCGCTGACCGGCCCGGCCGCTCTCCCTCCACTCTCGTCCCTGCCCCCGACCTCCATTCATCCGCCCTCGCACCGGCCCTGCGTTCCCGCCGCCTTTTCACGGTGAAATGTCGCTGCGGCTCTGACAGCGGACAGGTGACCAGCGCACAGCGGGCTGCCGTGGCGGAGGTGGCTGGGGCCTGGCCAGGGCTGCAGCCTCCCGGCCGGTGCCGCCTGGTTCCCGGGTTGGAGGACCGGGACTGACCGTCCGTGTCCGCCTGGTTCTCTGGTTGGAGGACCGGGACTGACCGACCGTGTCCGCCTGGTTCCCCGGTTGGAGGACCGGGACTGACCGTCCGTGTCCGCCTGGTTCCCCGGTTGGAGGACCGGGACTGACCAGTGCCGCCTGGTTCCCGGGTTGGAGGACCCGGACTGACCGCAGACGTTGCACAACCTGGTCCCAGGCGCTTGGAGGCTGAGGAGTCGAGGAGGCAGAGTGTGGCCTCCAGGACCCAGGACAGGAGTTGCTTTATTCCTCCTCGCGGCTCTGTGTGCACGCACATCTCTTAGAGCCTTTTTTACCCAAATGAAACACGAATTTCAACAAGCATTTTTTGAGCTCAGCCAAACCTTTTATTTAAATGAGATCATGTAAAAGGCTGACCTTTGAGCTTAAATAATGTTACTGATGGTAATTAATACTTATATCTGTCGTTTATCTAGGATGCCTCTTGCTCTGTTTTACTTGAACTTCCACATTGCTGTTTCGTTAGGGGCTGGCAAGGTTTGATTGCTTATGGATGCCATTCCCTTGTGGTGGTGGTCGATGCCAGCACTGCCCAGACGCTCCAAGTTTTAGAAAAGCATAAAGCTGATGTTGTCAAGGTAAGTCCGATGCCTCTTTGGCCCTGTAACCTGTTGTCTGTTCGAAAGTGTTAAATATCACACACTCTCATTAAGTCATACGTATACATGTTGAACAGCTTTTAACTATAACAATCTATTTGGGGTTAACCTACTCCTTCCACGCATATGACTTAATGTCCTTCCAGGATGAGCTATGAAATGCTGGTTCTGAGGTGACTTCAAAGCTGATGGGAAACACCAACGCTGTCATTTGCTGGGCCTCTCATTCATTATTAGTTCTGAGCACTTAGCATGCACCCAGGAGAGAGATGAAAGCCGTCAAACAGCTCATTGTCTAGCGAGGAAGATGAAAACAATACGGTGTGATGAGTGAGACGTGCTAATGCACTGTGGGGAGACCAAGGGGCTGCATATGACCTAGCGGTCGGGATCTGGGGAGGATCACGGAAGTCTTCGTTTCAGGGCCCTCTAGGCTGCAGGTAAGCACATAAAAAATGTGGGGAGGAGCAGGGCAGGAAAGAGGACGAATATACACAAAGGGAAGTAGGTGCCTACGGCTCAAGGACGGGACACACGTGTTTAATTTCATCCAGCGCAAGTGTTTCCCTGACCCTCTTTCTTCTTGATGCAGGTTAAGTGGGCCCGAGAAAATTACCACCATAACCTCGGCTCGCCCTACTCCTTGCGCCTCGCTTCTGCCGACGTCCACGGGAAAATCATCGTGTGGGATGTGGCGGCCGGAGTGGCTCAGTGTGAGATCCAAGAGCACGCCAAGCCCATCCAGGGTGAGGGGAGGCTGGCTCTGTGTTTGCATTCCTACCCTTCCTCTTAGTGTGTCCCCCCTTCATTTAATCCCATCCCTTCCCACGTAGCTCTTGATTGTGTTCAGCCTGGTCTCCGGATCTGAATCTAGTTGGTTTTTTTTATCCTTATTAATATACTTCTGGGCATATTTCCTCAAATCTCAGCTGATTTGAGTTTTGGTAAAATGCATTAATTTCAACATCCGCCTCAGTCATGCTTGATGAGAAAAATTAAGCTGCTACAAACAATCTTGTAAATTAAGCTACAGGATAAGTAAACTTGGCCAAACTGCTATTTTATATTAGCCCTCGGTGCTTACTTTTCATTAATAGACATCAAAATTTTATTTTCATTTTTATATAGATAATTTGTGTGTTTGTTGTCTTAAAACCAATAAGAGTATGCTATGAACTCAAGGCTTTGACTGATGGGCTGTTTTGAATGAGTGAATTTTTAAAAATGACAGTTTAAAAAATACTTATTGAGTACTTACTATGTTCTAAGTACTGAGCTAGATATTTATCTTGTTTATTGTTGTGAAAAAACATGAGACTGCAAAGCCCCATTAAATAATTCCACAAAAACACTAGGAAAGCCCGGCACCAGAGATCATGCCCGGACAGTCTTTGACATAAAGTTTTAAGTATTGATTACTGCAGATAGCCTTGTATTTTCTTTGAAGTAAGATTTCAGATTACTTGCCAATTTTGACCTTGAGATGCTGATGTCCACGCATCTAATTTTTATATAAAATTAACTTTCCTCTGCAGTCTTGACACATAGACACACATATGCTACACTGCGTGGGAGGATCGTTAAGATTTTAAGGATTATGTAAAAAACAGCACACTACTAAATACCAAGGCCAGTCAGCATGCACGTGTTTTGAGGTGGGTGATCACTGAGCTCTGCCCTTGTCTGGTCTTTGCAGACGTTCAGTGGTTATGGAGCCAAGATGCCTCCCGAGACTTGCTGCTCGCCATCCACCCGCCAAACTACATCGTGCTCTGGAATGCGGACACCGGCACCAAACTCTGGAAGAAGAGCTACGCAGACAACATCCTTTCCTTTTCTTTCGACCCGTTCGATTCCTCCCATTTAACTTGTGAGTAATGGTTTCTGTGGAAAATGAGTTGAGGTGTTTATCATATAGTTAACACTGTATACATGTCACATGCGTTCTATATCAAAACTGTCCAAACAGCTGAGCAGAGGGGGAGACACACCTCTGAGCGCCTCCTACAGGCGTGAATCATAACCTGCAGCTGCTGATGCAGGCGCTGTCATAACCCACAGCGTTGGCAGGTGTTTTGATACTTAGATGTTTGATTCAGCAGCTGACTCCACTGTGTTAAATTTGTGAATAGAATTAGATTAGCCAGAGAGAGAGAGTCGCTGTGCTGTTACCAACTCAAATTTAATTAAACTTGTTTTTTCTGGAACATTTAAAGAACATGAGTTAAGGGTTTCATTTAATCTGACCAAATTCAGCCCTTCCTTTTTAAAAAAGCATTGTTCTAACCAGTGCCTTAACCAGATGCATGCAGGGAACAGAAGCTGCTCAAGGGAGTTTTTTCCTGCAGAAGTTGCTTTTACCAACGTGCAAAGTAAAACAGGATAAATTAGGTTTTGTTTTTAGATATTTTTATGACTGAATTACTTAGAAAACATTTTTATCCATTTATCCAACAGATGTTTCTTGAGCTATTACTCTATGGCAGTGGTCGGCAAACTCATTAGTTAACAGAGCCAAATATCAACAGTACGACGATTGAAATTCCTTTTGAGAGCCAAATATTTTAAACTTAAACTATATAGGTAGGTACATTGTTATTAACTTAATTAGGGTCCTCCTAAGGCTTAGGAGGAGCCACACTCAAGGGGCCAAAGAGCCGAATGTGGCTCGTGAGCTGCAGTTTGCCGATCACTGCTCTATGGGAGCCGCCTCTTCTAGGGCCTAGAATGTATCTGAGAAACAAGGCAAGGACCCTGCCCTCATCGAGTTTGCGTTCTAGTGAGAGGGAGTCAGGTCTAACCTCAGAGCGTAATGAATTGGTAACGTCCAGTGTATTAGAGGTTACAGGTGGTAGAACAGAGTGAGACAGGATAGAGGGAACAAGGGAGAAGGGGGTGGAGAGTGGCCAGTGTGTTGGGTGGAGGCCACTGTTGGTTTTCTACTTTTACTCCAGATCTACAGAGAAAAAGAACTCCCTAGACATCCTAAGATTCCATCTGAGGATCAAGAAGAAAAAGACATATATTTAGACTGAGTAGTTCATGATAATCACAAATTTATATCATCAAGTCAAATATTTGAACCTAGCTAAGTGTGATGGGCAGAGCCTCATGTATATGTGTATATAGGGTGTCCCTGAAAAATGTATACACACTTTGAATAATTATAAAGGCAGTGTTTATTAAAATACATTTCATTTTTGAAATGTAATAGAATCTACATTGTGTGTATACATTTTTGGGGGACACCCTGTATATATGGGGTTTTTGTGATTTTATATTCAGAAAAGTATTTAGATGTTGCAATTATGTGATATAATGAGGGAGGGTTTTTAATGAAAGTCCATGCACTGAATTTGAAACAACAAACATTTGTTTTTTCTGCCAGGAACCTTCTAGTATCTATTTTTTAAAAAAAATATGTATTTATTGATTTCAGAGAGGAAGGGAGAGGGAGAGAGAGAGAGAGAGAAACATCAATGATGAGAGAGAATCATTGACCGGCTGCCTCCTGCACACCCCCCACTAGGGATTGAGCCCGCAACCCAGGCATGTGCCCTTGACCGGAATCGAATTCAGGACCCTTCAGTCCACAGGCCGACACTCTGTCCGCTGAGCCAAAACGGCTAGGGCTCTGGTATCTTTTTAATACAAAACATTAATTTAGAATGCTGAGCTCGGAGGCCTCGGATGAATCGTAACGGGCCACCTGTTTCACTTCAACTTGGAGAACATTCCGTTACGTTATGACTGCAAACACTGCCAGTTCTGTACTGTTAAATTATCGTTACCTTGCTCTCAAAATCATACTGGAGAAAACTGTGCTAAACTGGATTTAACTTCAGTCGGGTTTGCTTCTCTCCATGTAGTACTCACCAGCGAGGGCATTGTGTTCATCTCAGACTTCTCCCCCTCCAAGCCTCCCTCAGGCCCTGGGAAAAAAGTCTACATATCCAGCCCGCACTCTAGCCCAGCTCATAGCAAACTGGCTGCCGCCACGGGGGCTAAGAAGGCTCTTAATAAAGTCAAAATCTTAATCACTCAGGAGAAACCTAGGTAAGTTACAGTGTGAAGCCGACAACAGCATTCATCTGTTTATCGTCTGTTCCTGAAAAAATCAGTTTTGAACTTGTACTGTGATTGATTTTCTTCATCTCACCCTTTCTCCTTTCCACTTTTGAATTTATCGGAGGAAAAATATTCTTTTTGTCTCCTCCCCTGAGAGGAGGCTCAGCATTTAACATGGCTCCTTTGTTTCCACTCATTGTGCCGACCCCCCCAACCCCCGCTGATTTTTTCCTGATTAACATTTTTGACTTCTGATATTTACTTTTGAAATATGAATGAACGTTCTAACATTGTGGCCATTGAATATATTTGAAATTTGAGGACAAGATCTGGCTTTTTATTTTAAATAAATTTTTCTGACTTAAATGCTGTGCAGTTCCATGAGCTGTAAAATAAGGGTATTTTTCTTATGCATGTAAAGATGTTTCTCATACTGGTTAAGGGCCAGGATTCTAGAGGAAATTGTAGCCATCTGACTCAGAAAATTCTTTGATCTTGCTTAGATTTCACTCTCCCAATCTCTAACATAGTGTTTTAAGGGATTTCACAGGGTTGCTGTGAGGATTAATAGATGCAGTAATCTAAGTACTTAACACAGTGGCTGATACTTAATAAGCATTCATTTGGCAAATCCTAGCTATTATTGTTCATATCAGAAACTGCAACGGAATAAAATTTTATTTTACATAACTAATTTTGTGCATTAGAAATAGATTTCTGTTTTCTTCATAGAGCCATGATTATACTTTCATTTTTTATTGCCTTGGCAGTTTTTTTTGGCATTTATTTTAAAAGAGCCTTTACTTTTAATATGCTAAGATTATTCTATCTAGACTTTGTGGTAATTACCTGAAAAATATATGGTAAAATACAAATTGCTCTACAAATACATTTTTAATTTATATGTAAATATCATTTTTATATATTAATCTACAGGCTGGTTAAGTCCACTAATTTATCCCCCACCTTGTGCCAAAATAATTTAAGATAGCTCCCTAAATAGCTCATGAGAACTTTATTTTTCATTGATTCTGTCTCATAAAGAAATAATTATTTTGTAGTCTGAGTAGTTTTATAAGTTATGATTTATATATATTACATTTTTTCTCATATGAATCATGTTCACCTTGAGTTTAGGGGAATGAATTATGAATACCTTCAAGTAGAAGTGCTTTGGGTTTTCACATACATTATTATATTTTAATCTTGCTACAGTCCTGGGCAGCGGTACTGGGCCTGTGTTATAAATGAGGAAACTGTGTCTCACGTTGTTTGAAGTGTAACTCAGCTCACCCAACGGGACGTGGCAGGGCCGGGCGTTAATGCAGTCCACACTCCTCTCGCTAGTCCTCTCATCTAACTTTATTTTAAATTTCAGAACCTTTTAATAGTATTATTATGTAGAAAATAGAATATAACTGCATGCCTATTCCTATTGAAATATATTTATTATAAAAAGGTTATGACTAAGTATAAGCAATAATCACAGATTACTAAAATGCTTTGTTGAGACTAACAATCTTTTAAAGTCCTCATGGAGTTTTGTATCTTTTATTTACACAGAAGAAAATGCTATGATAAGTGAGTAAATTGCCCTACTTTGTTTCAGAAAAGATTTCAGGCAGCTTAAAAGGAAAAGAATCGCAGCTGGTGTGGCTCAGTGGTTGAGTGTTGACCGATGAGCCAGGAGGCCAAGGGGCCTGTGCCCAGGTTGTGGGTTCGATCCCCGGTAGGGGGTGTGGCAGGAGGCAGCCTGTCAATGATTCTGTCTCATCATTGATGTTTCTCTCTCTCTCTCTGCCTTCCTCTCTGAAATCAATAAATATATTTTCTTTAAAAAAGGAAATGAAGACAGAGTAAAATGTATGGTAAAAAAAATATGGTAAAATACAAATTGCTCTACAAATACATTTTTAATTTACATGTAAATATCATTTTATATATTAATCTACAGGCTGGTTAAGTCTTGCCCAAGGCCACACACAGTCCACTGACCAGTGTCCCTCGTTACTCTAAACGTTTTGTTTTATCCTGAGTCTTGATTTCAGCATCTGTTTAGTACTTCTAATTGCAAATAAAAATAAAACTGCTGCCCTGTGAATGCCTAGTATATCATAGACTTACTCTTACTTCTCTATATTTTTAAATATTTAGAAACACATCTCACTCAGCCTATACAATATTATTGTCATAATTTGGGTTTTGGCACATGGTGGAGGTTTAAGTTTTAGATACTCGCCTCTGTTGGTCATTTCATAAACAGTTGTACATTCTCATTGACAGTTTTTTTAAAAAATATATTTGTATTGATTTCAGAGAGGAAGGGAGAGGGAGAGAGAGATAGAAACATCAAAGATGAGAGAGAACCATTGATTGGCTGCCTCCTGCACGCCCCCTACTGGGGATCGAGCCCACAACCTGAGCATGTGCCCTTGACTGGGATCGAACCTGGGACCCTTCAGTCCTGATGCTCTATCCACTGAGCCACACCGCCTAGGGCTCTCATTGACAGTTTCATGTGGAAAGTACAAAATGCAGTTCTTGATTAGCTTTACCTGATATGAATAAATCTTTGACTCCTTTCTTGGTGCCTAAAGTACAGCTTTGATTTTTTAGTGCTGAGTTCATAACCCTCAACGACTGCCTGCAGCTGGCCTATCTGCCTTCCAAAAGGAACCACATGCTGTTGCTCTATCCCCGCGAGATCTTAGTCCTGGACCTCGAGGTGAACCAGACCGTGGGCGTGATTGCGATCGAGCGCACGGGCGTTCCGTTTCTGCAGGTATCGGCGTTTATCTCTGCCTCCCCAGAAGTCGGGGGTAGGGGAAGAGTCTAACCACGCAAAGGGCCTTAGTTCGACTCTCTCTTTTCTGTTTATTAAAAATTAACAACGTTGTTGTACATTTCTTATTTTCTTACACTTTTGATTGACTTGATGTATCCTAGAAATTCTTCTGACTGATCTGGAGATATTTACCAAACTATTTAAGTTACATGGATAAAGACAAATTTTTATGATTATAAATGGATCTTTTAAATGTTCATTTAGTTTTAAAACTTGGGAACTATGTAGTATATTTTTGTGTTTGTTTTTTTCTTTTAGCCTATATCCTCTACATACGAACTTTTGAATTCCACAGTATATACTTTTTAATTTATTTTGTTTTAAAAAAATAAATGAATCATCTGTTTAAAGGTAATACCCTGCTTTCAGCGAGATGGTTTATTTTGCCTACATGAGAATGGTTGCATAACTTTACGTGTTCGAAGATCTTATAATAGTATTTTCACCACTTCAAACGAGGAACCAGGTGAGTTTCTGTCTACAGTAATGTTAATTACTTTTTTTCAGAATTATTTTGTAAAGCAAGTACCAGCCAATCTTAGCGTTAACGAGAGTCCTGGCCTTGAGAAAGTAGAGTGTGTTACGCTGTGAGGCCTGGAACGTCTCCCGGTGTTACGGCAGTGCCCCTGCGTACCGATTGTCACTCCTTGGTGGCTTCCAGGGGCCGAGGAGATGTGATCTTCTGTGAGTTTTTCTTTAGCACAAGCCCAGCCTGGTGGGCACATTTATTCCTCCCTTGACCTTTCCTCTGCTTCAGGAGTTTCCCTGGAAAGTGACAGGTAAGTAAGGCCCCAGGTCGTTGCGTTGTCAGTCTCAGTCTTACCCTGGAGAAGCACAGTTCTGTTTTGTGAAGTCCTGCACTACATACAGTTGAGAGTAACGTTAACATCTTTTGTAAAGTACAGTTATTTGCAGGCTTATTACAGACATGTAAATTAGGATGGTCTGTAGTGCACTGTTCATGATGTAATCATATGTCACCGTTCAGAGCCTTTTCTTTATTTTAGAAATATTAAAAAACAAGCTATCTTTAAAAAAAATATATATATATATATATATATATATGTATTTATTGATTTCAGAGAGGAAGGGAGAGGGAGATAGAAACATCATTGATGAGAGAGAATCACTGATTGGCTGCCTCCTGCACGCCCCCTGCTGGGGATCGAGCTGGAAACCCGGGCATGTGCCCTTGACCAGAATCGAACCCGGGTCCCTTCAGTCCACAGGCCGACGCTCTATCCACTGAGCCAAACCAGCTAGGGCAAAAAACAAGCTATCTTGATTATAATTGTCATTTTGGAAATGAAACTTGGTGTAGACAATCAATAAGGTAATTATCTGTATATTCTGATGAAATTGTTGAAAGAGAAGCCATTCTTGACAGATTTTCATTAGTGAAGGACTGATAACCTTCTTGGTGGAGGTTTTATTTAAATTAAAGGAATTACGAGTGATGGTGATGTGGTTGCTTCCTGATGTCGACAAGAAGGCATCACTGTGTTCAGATGCAGATCCCGTCCAGGAGCTCACCTACGACCTACGCAGCCAGTGCGACGCCATCCGCGTGACGAAGACCGTCCGCCCCTTCAGCATGGTGTGCTGCCCCGTCAACGAGAACGCCGCGGCCCTGGTGGTGAGCGACGGCAGGGTCATGGTCTGGGAGCTGAAGTCTGCCGTTTGCAATCGAAGTGCACGGAACAGGTCAGTCAGTCAGTAGGGCTGTTCCTTTGTTTTCTGTTTCTTTTTTTAAAAAATTGCCAGAATCATGTAAAAATAGCAGAGACTTTTAAAGATATTTAAAATATTTTAAAGTGATAATTAAGACTATGTAGCCCTAACCGGTTTGGCTCAGTGGATAGAGCGTCAGCCTGTGGACTCAAGGGTCCCCGGTTCGATTCCAGTCAAGGGCATGTACCTTGGTTGCGACTCGATCCCCAGTAGGGAGTGTGCAGGAGGCAGCTGATCGATGTTTCTCTCTCATCGATGTTTCTAACTCTCTATCCCACTCCCTTCCTGTCTGTACAAAATCAATTAAAAAAAAATACTTTATGTAAACCTGCTAGAGGTATTTCACTTGTGGGTAAGAAAAGTTGAATGCCATGACCTGAACTTGTGGTTGGTGAGTTGCTGTCATGTGATGCAGATTTTACGTCTGTGAAGCAGCTAATGACCGTGTCCTTGCAGTGGCTCCGGCGTGTCGCCTCTGTACTCCCCAGTGTCGTTCTGTGGGATCCCGGTGGGGGTGCTGCAGAACAAACTCCCCGACCTCTCTCTGGATAACATGATCGGTGAGCTTTTGTTGTTCTCTGACTTTCCTGTTGGGATTCTTTCTAAAGGGCAAAACTAATAGTCTCACTGATTTGCAATTATAAAGTCAAAGTTAATACTTGAGAACACTGCCATGTAGAGAGCCCGAGCTTTGTGTGTCCCAGGTACACAGTGATATTTCCTGGAGGAATAATAAAGAACTGAGAAGGGTTGGAAACAATTATTTTAACTTGAGACATACATTGTCTTGTTTACATACTGGTGAGTCTTACTTTCAAATATTTATTTGCAGTTAAAATATTGCTTCCAACTTATTTCATTATTATAGGGCCAGTATAAATTAAACGAAGAATAAAGATTTGTGATTTCAAATATTATACAACTAGAAATTGTAAATACTGTATGCCAAGCAATTTTGATGTCTAATTCTTTTAAAATTGTAGCTGTGGTTTATAAAGGATTTTCTGTATCATTATTTGTTCTTCCATAATGTAATTGAAAATCGCTATTATTTAGTAGGATATTTTGTTGAAATGCTTGAGAGATGATATATAAGAAAAGTGCATTACCTTATTAATCTTTTTTATGTATTTTTTAATTGATTTCAGAGAGGAAGGGAGAGGGATGAAGGGATAGCAACATCAATGATAAGTGAATCATTGATCTGCTGCCTCTTGCACGCCCCCTATGGGGGATCAAGCTCACAACCTGGGCATGTGCCCTGACGGAAAATCGAACCTTGACCTCCTGGTTCATAGGTTGATGCTCAACCACTGAGCCACAGCAGCTAGGCACTTATTAATTTTAATCAGAGAGGACATTTATTGGTTGCTCAGTATTAGGTTAAGTGCTGTGCTAAATGCTCTGTAGGTAGATGATATTATGTCCATTTCATGTTTGTGGGAACTGAGATCCCGAGAGATTTTAAGAACTTTCTTAGAACCACACAGCCAGTAAGTGGCAGAGCCAAAGGTGAACCTGTTCCCCTGGTCTGGAGCCTGCTCCTTGGCCGTGGCCTCCAGTCCTGGCTGCTCCACTGTGACCGCAGCAGGACCGGACCCTCCAGCCTCGGCTTTCTCATGGCTCCTGAAGACGCTTTTATATCTCAGATTCTCCCTCTTACCTTCCAGGCATAAATCCATGTAAAGAGGTTTGGACACAGACTCGTTTTGCAAAATGCATTTTATCAGTAACACAATTTCTGAGTTAATTGACCTTGTCTGCACTTGATAAAAATATTAAATTGAAAGGAATTACAAACACACACATGCACAGAACTAATTGGTAATATGAAAGACACTGGGATTTTATGCTGTTTAGGGATCTAAGCGATATAAATTACACTTTCAGGAGACAAAAGGATATAGATTGTGCACTCGTTCTTGACTGTAGTTGATTTAAAAGTATTAAACAAAGCTTTGTTACTTGAAAACATTTTAATTAAAACTTTTAATTAAATTTTTAATTTGGAATTCACTATGTACTTAATGATCATTGAGAGCAGTTCAGTTAAATACAGAGGCCTGGTTTCTGTTCGTTGGGTAAAAGCTGCTGCTTATTAAGGCCGTCCCTGCCCTGCAGCGAATTGCTGCTGTGGAAGGTGCTTGCACAGACGTGTGGAAGGTGCTTGCACAGACGTGTGGAAGGTGCTTGCACAGACGTGTGGAAGGTGCTTGCACAGACGTGTGGAAGGTGCTTGCACAGACGTGTGGAAGGTGCTTGCACAGACGTGTGGAAGGTGCTTGCACAGACGTAGGTGCTTGCACAGACGTGTGGAAGGTGCTTGCACAGACGTGTGGAAGGTGCTTGCACAGACGTAGGTGTTTGCACAGACGTGTGGCAGTTCTCAGGAGTCGCTGCACGGTGCTGGGGGTGGTGAGCGTATAGCTGCCTGTGAACTTCTCATTCCTTTGGATCCGTCTTTTGTAACCAAAAACTGATACTAATTGTAGGACTGATCCTAAGGGATCACTTTATTTGCATTAAATTGATGGCCATTTTTTTCTGTATGTCTTACGGATTTTAAAACAACTTCTTATTAAAAGAACTTCGTAGCTTTGAAAGATTCTATTCAGAGTCCTAGCACACACTCCTAGTATTTACATTTTTCCCTTAAACAGTATATGTATGTGTGTATTCATATGTGCACTCACATATTCTTTACTGTAGTATTTTTGACATTTTAATCCAGTCATCAGTAGTGGTTTATAGGAAGAAAGCTTGTTACCCTTGTTAGTAAACAGTATTGCTTTTGTTGTAGTCTTCAGATTCATATTTGTTACACTCGTTTTTAGTGGAGTCATCTTTTTAGTTGGAGACTTGGTTTCCTAAGTATGAATGTTATATCTGAAAGTTATGCCATTTAATACCTAGCTTTTGACAGTTGCAGGTTATATGCAATATACATTATTTTATATATTTACATATAATGGGTTAATTGTAAAGCTTAAATTTTGTAAGATTTCTTATAGAAATCCAAGTGAGTTCTTGAACCTGTTGTGTGGGATTACTGATTCTGGGTGCCTTTTACCACGTCATCGACAGAGTCACTCCACGGAAACTGCCCTCTAACCGCGTCCCCCTGATTGGTGTTTGGTGCCCTCATTCCAGGAGCTTTGGCTGAAACTGTTTCTTAGGAGACAGGTTGGCCATTCTGGAAGCACGCCCTGGAGTGTCTGCCTCGAGGTGCCAGGCAGGGCATGGCAAGGCCCACACCAAGGGCAGGGCCACTGTCCTGCTTCAGCCCACAGTGCCCCGCTCACCCTCCGGACCTGAGAGTGCTCTTCTAGGCCTGCAGAGCGTTCCCACTGCAGATCGCACGCACTACAATTAATGTATCGCTATTGATTACCAATCAGGGCAAAGCGCGATTGCTGGGGAAGACCATCCCAAAGGCTCCGTTCTGCAGGAAGTGCACCTCAAATTCCTGCTCACGGGACTGATTTCAGGACTGCCCGCACCACCATTTACCGTCCGTATGTGTCCCCCGTTGACCACAAAAAACATCAAGATGTATCAGCCATTGCTTGCTGTTGGTGAGTATTGGACCTGTTTGTGTTTGTTGGTTTGTTTATTAAGACATTTTTATGGATTTCTAAAGAGAGGGAGGGAGGGAGGGGGAGAGAGAGAGAGAGAGAGAGAGAGAGAGAGAGAGAGAGAGAGATTGATTTTAAGAGGCAAACATTGATCGCTGCCTCCTGCGTGGGGATGGAGCCTGCAGCCCGGGCATTGTCCTGACCAGGAATTGAACCGGCAGCCTTCTGATGCAAGGGATAATGCCAACCCACTGAGCACACGCCAGGGCACAGACCTGCTTGTTTTTAATTTGTCAGCATGTTTTATATTTTATAAGACTTTTAACTTCGCTAGTTACTGGAAAATCCTTGTTTATCTTTGAGAATAAAGAGGAAGAGGCTAAGTGAAACTGTTTTTTTAAAGATGTGATTTGTTGGCTTCTGGCTTTCTCCCCAGGTCTATAAACATGTGATTTGTGATTTTTTTTTTTCTAAAATGAAAACCTGACCACGTTTATTTTGTTGCTGGTATGTCTGAGTTATGCTAGTGTGTCAGCTTAATGGCTGACATGTGAGTACTCATGCTCATTTGAATATTGCTATTTGGCATTGTTTTTTCTTCCCATTTTTTCATTACTATCTTCTGAAAGTGATTTGAATTTTAAGGTTCAGTAAGATTTCAGAGCACACAAGATCAGGCCCATTTTTGATAAGAAAGAAGACAGAGAATTTTAATTTTTTTTATCACTTAGCTTTGGTCCCTTTTATAAAAGAGAAATGTTGTAAATGATTGAAATCTTGAGAAAAGACTCATGTTGGAAAGATCTGGAACTCCCGCTAGGTAAATGCTCTCCTGTTTGGACAGGCACAGGTAACGGCTCCGTCCTGGTGTACCACCTGACCAGCGGGCTGCTGCACAAGGAGCTGAGCGTCCACTCTTGTGAAGTCAGGTGAGTGTCCTGTGTCGCCGACATCACACCAGGCAGAGGCTCTGCACGGGGTGCTCTGCAGTGTGGCTGTGCCACTGGGAGCTTCGCACAGTCAGTATTCACGTCCCGCCGGTGGCTGCTCAGCCAGGATGAGCACCGACTGCTGCCTCTGTAAGGGCTTCCTGCAGGGGAGCATTGCCCTCACTTCCGTTGCTGTGACTTAATGGTTTCTCCTGACCTTCAGGTATTTTACTGGGAATCACTGTGTCTCCTTGTTCAGGTTTATCTAGCTGGGTTTTCATTTCTATAAAGATCCCTTAGTAGGACTATTTATGAAAATTTGAATAAAGTCATTTTAATAGTTAATCTCATTTATGTTTTTGTTTAAGCACCATGAGAAAAGGACCAAACTCTCTAGCATTTTAAATTTCGAGCTGTGATCTATTTTGTGAGTGTGCAGACATAGTGAGGGAGGGCCAGAGTGACAGAGGGGTGCGTGCCTCTTGCTTTCTCTCTTCTCATGGCCTTGCTTTGCTGATTGTATGGCTGTTTCCCTTTGATGCCCGAGCAGGATGGACTGTATAATATAAAGTTATTAAATTGCCAGTATTTTTGATGATCTTTTAACAAAAGTATAGAGAAAGGCCCTTTTCTGTCCTCTGTGCATTATAGGTCCAGGTCCCATGCATGTGTGACAATTCTTAGTGAACCTTAAAGAGCATGTTATTCTGAGTAAACGCATTTCGAATGGGCAAAGGTTAGCCCTTCCGTGTCAGAGCTGCTGACGGGGATGGACGTGCTGAGGAGGTTACGTGGCCTCCTTCTCCCAGGTGCAGTGCTCTGTGGCGCAGCCGGAGTGACTGTCCACCCGGTGCTGCCCCTGCAGTGTCTCCCTGATTCGTGCTGTGGAGCAGGATTGTCTCCAAAAGCTGGCCTCTTCCTTCTCTTCTTCAGGAGTCCCTGCTGCTGACAGCTCCTCCTCCTTCCCTGCCCACAGCTCCTCTCTGACAGGCCTCCACCCTTTCCCTATGGCAGCACCAGCTCTCACTTACCCAGCGCTTGCTCTCGGGTTACTAGTAGGCACTGACACTCTGCAGGCATTCCTTCCATTGAACCTGCACTCAGTTCTCGGCGGGAGGCCTGTCCTTCCCAGTTCACTGTGAGGCCTTGGATGGTGTGTGCACCCGGGTGAGCAGGAAACGCTTTGACAAGAAGGTAAAAGTTTGACTGAGCCAGGATTCACGTTAGGGCTCTGGTCCAGGCTCCTGGAGAAAATCAAGCACATTTTACTTTTTTCTGAACACTGAAGTGTTTAATAAAGGCAGTAGCTAGTTCACAGTGAGCTGCTCACTTCTTAAAGTAAGATTTGTTCTCCTTGCCCAGTTGGGTCCTAGATGTCAGTTAGTCCATGACTTACAGTTGCTATGGTAATACTTATTACCGAGTGACTCTGAAAGTGCTTAGAAACCGTTACCTGGGACTCCAGATAACTCTAGGGATACACTCCTCACACAGGCTGGTGTGAAGGATACACAGATCTGCACCCTTTTTCATATGAATTCTCCCTCTTAATTGCCATTTTGAAGATAATTCACCTTTTATATTCAGAGATGGTACCCAAAAAGATGCTGACATCCTGCTGTCTCTGTGCTTCAATTAATGCAATTATAGTATTGTCATTAAAAGCCATTATGAAAATCTCACAGCGTGTGATAAAAACTGCCACACTTATTAGCAATCAACCAGAACACTCTGGATATTCACATGCAAATTAAAGGCCAGCTTTTAGAAAGTTGTTTTTCTACCACAGGCTAAATGTGTTGTTTAAAACCACTTAGTCGTAAGTACTTGATCTCATGCACGCTCATGGCCAGGGATCACCCAGCTGCAAGTTGCCTCCATGTGGTCTTTGAAAGCCGCGGTGTTTTAACTGTTACCTTTACAAGTAGGCATTGAGCAGCTTCTGTGCCTGCAGCTCATGATCTGTTGGAAGATTCCTGGAAGTAGGTAAAGTGGATACATGTCAGTTTTCTTAGATTATTAGCTGTGTCTTTGTCCAGTAGACTAGATTAATAATAATAATAATACTAGAGGCCCGGTGCACGAATTCGTGCACGGGTGGGGTTCCTCTGCCTGGCCAGCGATCGGGCCGATCAAGGCTGATCAGGGCCACCCGGAGGAGGTTGGCTGTGGGAGCGCACTGACCACCAGGGGGCAGCTCCTGCATTGAGTGTCTGCCCCCTAGTGGTCAGTGCGCATCATGGCAACCGGTCGTAAAGGTGGCTTAGGCTTTTATATATATAGATAGCCCAATACTATTTTCAGTACCAGAAATTATTAGAACAGTAGTTTATATGGGTATCAGAACATTGACCAGCTCAGAGTTGTTTTGAGGGAATGGAGTGATTTGTGGAAAGTAAAATGATCTCTGTTTTGTCTTTCAATAAATTTGCAGACGTTCGTTTTATGTAATCCCAGGACGTCAGGGCCTGTCAGGAAGTGTGTGCTCCCCCCAGTACCACGGTTAGAAGTAGGCGGTGGCATCCGTCCCCGGGGGGGTCCGCAGGCCCAGCTGGAAACCTTAGAGGTCAGAACCCCAGACGCCCACCAACAAGGTACATGGCTCAGTAGTTCGGGATCCTACAGAACAAGCCTGGGTGGAGTCGGAGAGCCAGCGGCTGCCTCCCCTTGTGTGTGGAGCTCTGTGCCCAGTGTCACCTGAGCAGTGGTTTCTGATCCTTAGAGCAGCACTGGGGTCTTAGCTGTGTCTGACAAGAGTCTTCATCCTTTTGAGAAATAACCCCCTTGTCTGACCTACTCTGAGGTCCAGCCTGATTTTCTTTCTCTGCAGTTGATCAGTAGGTGTGGGATGGATATACCGGCTGCTGCTGGAACCGGCTCAAAGGCAGCACACACGGTGCTAGAATCAAATAAAATCAAATAACAGCCAACCCCGTTCTGTTATGTCTGAACCCTGGGACTTCCTGTAAACCATGCGGCAAGCACTCCTTGAATATGTGTGGCACTGACATAAGATAGAACGTGAGGCTTTTCTCAACCTCATTCATTTAATCTGAGGAATTTACCAACCGGGTGCAAGTGTGTCACGTGCCTGGTGAAACGCGCCGGCACCTCCCTTCAGAGAGAGAGAGAGTACGTCTAGGTCTAGCGCCGTTTCTCAGCCAGCTGCCCCGTCCCCTTGTCCCCTTGTTTCCCCGTCCCCCCGTCCCCTTGTCCCCTAGTTCCCTTGTCCCCTCGTCCCCTTGTCCCCTCATCCCCTCGTCCCCTCGGTGGTGCAGGCTTCCAGGCACAACCCTGTGCGCCCTCGGGGTCTCAGCCTCATGTCCTGGAAGCCTCGCCTGCCCCGAGTGACGGACAGCCCCTGTTGGCCTCTGCAGCACTCTGCTGTGTCCGAGGGAACGTGGGATGACTGTGTGAGCGTCCTGCCGCATCAGCAGCTCAGCAGGGCCGCGGTTGTATCTTCCTCGTTCAATCTGCATCCCCAGGGCTGAGCCCAGGCACCAGCATGTCCCGGGGTCTCAGCAGGTGTATTTTTATAAACACGGAGTGGAGAGCGGGCAGGCTGGAGTGGTCAGTGTCCAGCGACAGTGACCTTCCTGTGCGGAGCCCAAGCAGTTCAGACGCCAGCAGCGAGGCTTGGAGAGCGTGCGCTGCGGTTTGTGTGTCTGATGGAAGCCCTCAGACTCAGAGAGCAGAAGGAGTCCAAACCGATTCTCCTCTTGTTCAGTCTGAGGAGAAAACTAATGAGTTTGTTACATGTTTGGGGAAAGAGAAGCAGGAGACCAGGGCCTTTCCCAGCGGCAGTTAACCAAGTTCCCGTTACTGTGTCACCGTAGGTGTGGTCAGTGTTTACCAAGTGGGGAGGCCGCTTCCAGGTCTCACGGCTCAGTGGGTGGTGTTTGCTTCGGGAATTTATGCCTCCTGACCAAGAATGTTGATAAATTTGATAAAATTCCTAAGTGGACTCAACGTTAAGCAGTTTGCTCAGAATATTTCTAAACCACTTGTTTTTAAGCAGAGAAATTCCCAGAAACCACTGCAGCGTGACTCCTTTACCGGATTTTAAGTTATTTTATTGCTGCTACCGATGCCAATAACCAAACTGTCTTGTCAGTATTTGGAGATAAAGTTTTAACTAGAAATAATTTCATATGTGTTGGAAATATATGGTACTTTAGGCTCTAATAAAAGGTTATATTAATATTGCTAATTAATTAACTTGTATAATTTAGGTCTTGGGAAAAACTTACTTGTCAAATAACTTTTTCAAACAGAAAGGTATTAGATTAATCTGTGTTTAATTTCTCGTTCCAGGGGTATTGAGTGGACGAGTTTGACTGGCTTCCTTTCTTTTGCGACGTCAACACCGAACAACATGGGGCTGGTGCGGAACGAGCTCCAGTTGGTCGACCTTCCCACAGGTGTGTGCGCGGGGCTGTTGCAGGTGCCGGCGGTCGTGTTGGGCGGAGCCGTTGCCATTCTTGACGCTCTGAAGCACTGGCTTCCCCCGGAGCTTGTGTGCTGGGTCTGTACAGTTTTAAAATAAGTCCAGGTAGCTCAACTCTATTAGATTCTTTTTCAGAATTTTGGACTTTAAAGGAAAATTTACAGGTAAGGATTGTTTCTAAATGATCAAATTTAAGACATTTGATAGTCTCTGGCTGACTAAATAGGGAGATTTAATTTGGGAGTTTAAAGACTTTACAATAAGAAACTTCCTGTAAAGTAACTTGTTCAGAATTGATAAAAACCTACAGCCCAAAGAATTTTAAAGTGAAAAATTTGGAACTAGAATAAGGTGAGGATTTCAAATTATTTTATAGCACATGCATTGATTAAAAAAAAAATTTTTTTTTACAAAATTCTGGTTTCTTGAAAACGCCATAGCAATATGAATATACATAGATGGTTTTAACCAATAAGATGCGTATGTGTGTGTAATGTGTGAGTAGTAAATCAGGTATATTGTTGCTTCCGTATATTCTCAATATGTATTTCCAAGATCGAGTTGAGAACAACTAAGGTACATATCAGTGTTACCAACCCTCAAGGACTTGGCGCCACCTGCAGGCCAGTGTTGCTCTCGCTTCCCTGGAAGTGACCTGGGTCCCAGATTCCCCAGGTGCCAAGGAGCCCCTGGTCTCCAGTCCCCAGGCAGCCTGGAGAAAGGGCGCTCTCTAGTGTCGTTCACAAACAGACCAAAACCCTGTTCACTTTTTCAGTCGGCTGGGGTTCAGGACTTGTGATAACCTCATCTGTCTTTTACAATCTGTTTCTGAGGAACAAATTCCTAAGGACTAGTTATTGGCTTTTCTAAGTGGGAGACTGACGGCATGAAGAGCAGGGAGGCCTGCAGGCCTCAGTTGTCTTTAAATTGAGGATGTTTTCTCTTGATTAATGTGGATAAAACACTAGGAAGACATATTGAAATATATTTGTTCAGACATAAGGTACAATTTGCTTTTTTTTTTTAAATCCTCACCTGAGGACATGCTGAGGGTTTGGGAGGGAGAGGCGGGGAGAAACATCGATGTGAGAGAGAAGCATCCATCGGTTGCCTGCTGTGCTGGGGATCGAACCACAGCCCAGGTGTGTGCCGCCCGGGAGCCAGCGGCACCCTTCGTGCACAGGATGCCGTTCAGCCGGCTGAGCCGCTCCCGCTGGGCACGCGTTTGTAATTAGAGAAAGTCATTGGCTTCTTCAGCAGGTAACTGATTCCTGTGATTCCCCAAGTTCAGTTTGTAGAGAACTTCTGATAGGAACGTGTCCGGATATTTCAGTTGGGTATTTTGCAGCTGGAACAAGGACTCTTACATACCTGTCCGAGCTTTCCCCCACTCATTAGTATTGTGAGTGTGGGGATGTGTATATTCCTTTGAATGTACAGTAGTTCTACAGGGACAGTTCTCTTGTAATGCCTTCAATCTTTAGAAATTGATATTTCTAAATTTCTAAAACTAAATTATTGAAGGACACCGCAGAAGAAATATAAGAAACTGTAACAAGTGAAGATACCTTTTTATAAAATAGAATTTGAATATAAGTAATATATTATTGGTCTTTAACTTGTAATACTTTTGAGAATGTGGTTGGAATTGGATTAGACACAGAAGCGGAGGGGAGAACAGGGCTGCGCGGGTCAGAGTGCTTGGTGTAGCTCCTAGTTTCCTGTTTTATGGGCCGTTTTTCACGTTGTCGTTAATGTTTTCAATTAAAGGCAGGAGCATTGCTTTTCGAGGAGAACGAGGCAATGATGAATCGCCCATCGAAATGATTAAAGTCTCTCATTTGAAGTAAGTATCAACCTAAAAACCCCTATGGTGTTACTGCAGTGGAATCTCAAGGAATCTCTGTCATCTCTAAGAGTGAGAATGTGCTAAGACCCATAGGGGCTCTCTTCATGTTAGCAAATGGTGACATGCAGCCATAGCAAAGGAAATAATTTGATCACAAAATTAATTTGCTATCTCTTTTTTAAAATATATTTTTATTGATTTCAGAGAGGAAGGGAGAGAGAGAAAGAGATAGAAACATCAATGATGAGAGAGAATCATTGATTGGCTGCCTCCTGCACGCCCCACACTGGGGATCGAGCCTGCAACCCAGGCATGTGCCCTTAGACTGGAATGGAACCCAGGTCCCTTCAACCTGCAGGCTGAGGCTCTATCCACTGAGCCAAACCAGCTAAGACAAGTTACTGTCTCTCTTTCTCTACTTCTACAGAGATGAGGGTATTTGTGTGGATCGTATTTTATTAGGTGGTAAAATCAGCAGCCCTGTTTTGTTCTGCTGCAAATTGACATAAATCCTGCCGCCCACTAAGAAAAGGCAGTTTGTTAAATGGTGAAATTCTGTTGTACTTCCACCTCATGGTGGTTTATTAAGTGAAAGAACTCACTTTCTTTATTTGTGATTTATACCCATTTTAACTCCAGGACATTTCTGAGTTTTTTGTTCCAAGGGGAATATACAGCAGGATTATTAACCGTAAAGACTAAATGAAAACTGAAAGATCAAAGACAGAAGTAGTAAACTCTCTAAAATAGTTTTCAAAATTACTGTACCTTTCCTAGGATCTTTGCATTTCCATGTAAGATATAGAATCAGTTTATCTGTTTAACCAAAACAGCTTTAGATTGGGGTGGCATTGAACCCATAGATCTTGTGGGAAGAATTGACATCTGATGTTTTGTGATTCATGAACGAGGTGTATCTCTCTACTTACTGAGGTTTTCTTTAATATCGGCCATCAGTAAGCCACCTTGCCATTCCTGAGTGAACTCCACTTGGATATGATGTGTTACCGGATGTAATTTGCTAATTTTTAATAAATTCTGGTTTGATTTGCTAGTATTTTATCAGAGATCTTTGCATCTATGTTCATGAAGGGCATTGGCCTGGCTCTGGAGTGAGGGAGGGTTGGCCTTGTAGCTGCATTGGAAGGCTTCGCTCCTCTTCTTCTGCACGAGTTTGTGTGGGATTGATCATCATTTCTTCCTTAAAGAGGAATTCACCAGGGGAGTGCTCTGTATCCACGAAGGAAATTGAATGTAACTTATATTACAGAGTGAGGCAAAGGTAGGTTCATAGCTGTTCATATGGGAAGTTCTGTATAATAAAGAGCTACTAGTAATATGCTAATTAGACCAAACATCATAACGATCATCTGGACGACCTTCTGGGCGAGGCCGAGGCAGCTGGGGCTGTGAGGGCCAAGCCCCTTGCACGAATTTCATGCATCGGGCTTCTAGTAATATAATCCTATCTAATAATAGACAAACATGGTAATTGACCGTACCTTTGCTACGCCTCCCATTGGCTAATCAGTGAGATACGCAAATTAACCGCCAACAAAGATGGTGGTTAATTTGCATACATAGACGTGAAGCGGCGGAGCAAAGACTGAAGGCGGCTCCAGCCAGAGCAGCGAAGGCTTTGAAGGCGGCTCCGGCCGGAACGTAGGCCTTGGGTCCCAGGTGCTAGAGGAAAACCAGTGCCGGCAGCTAGGGGAAGGGAAGGCCTATTGCACGAATCTTTTCGTGCAACAGGCCTCTAGTAATTAATAATAATACAAGAATAAACTCTTTTAGGTATGCACAACTGTAAACCTACTTTTGCCTACCCCTTTATATAATTTTTTACCCCCAAGGAACTTTGGTAGTTGCTGTATTTCAAGTAATCTATTTCATTGACGTTGTTGAATTTATAGATATTAAGTTGGTTTTTTTTAATATATATTTTATTGATTTTTTTACAGAGAGGAAGGGAGAGGGATAGAGAGTTAGAAACATCGATCAGCTGCCTCCTGCACACCCCCTACTGGGGATGTGCCCACAACCAAGGTACATGCCCTTGACCGGAATCGAACCTGGGACCTTTCAGTCCACAGGCCGACGCTCTATCCACTGAGCCAAACTGGTTATGGCTAGATATTAACTAGTTATCATTGTCTCTTATTCTTTAATGTCTGTGATCTGAGTGATGTCTGTTTCATTGCTGATATCAATAAATCGTGTTGATCAATTTCATTATCTTTTCAAAGAAACTCCTTTAGTTTCTTTTTCTCTGTGGTTTTCTATTTTCTATTTCATTGACGGCCATGGTTATCTTTTCTTTTTCTTCTGCTTTGGGTTTAATACATTCTTCTTTTTAAGGTAGAACCTTAGATGATTGAATTAAGTAATGTCATTCTGTAAAGAAAGATTTAAAGTAAGCATTTAATGCTGTAATCAGCACTATTTTTCCTGTACCCTACAATTATTTTGATAAGATTATTTTCATTTTAACTTATTTTATAATACTTTAAAATTTCCATGGGATAATTATAGATACATTGTTTCATTTCAAAATGTTTGGAGGTTTTCCAGGTGTTTTTCTCTTAACTTCTAGTTCCTGTTAGAGTCAGGGAGCATGTTTTATTCTACCTCAGTCCTTTTAAATTTCACGTCGTTGTTCCAGGGCCCAGAACACGCTCCACCTTGGTGCCTGTGCACGTGCACCTGGAAAGGCCGTGTGTTCTGTGTGGATTAGAATATTCCGTACATGTCTGTTCAAGGTGGTTTACGGTTCTTACTGATTTTCCGTCTGCTTTTCTGTCTGTTACTAAAAGACAGATGAGTGTTGAAATTTTGAACTTGCGGGTTTATTTCTTTCTCAAAGATCTAAACTTCTTTGAGTATTTTATTTTTTTCGGTATGGCAAAGGTGGAAATTTACTGAATTACATGTACAGACTCCCACGTGGGGAGGGGGATAGAGTCCCCTAAACTTGTTTAAGTATTTTACAGCTCTGGTATGAGGCACATACATATTTGGTCTTGCTGCATACTTTTGATTAGTTGACTGTTTTATTGTTGTGAAACGTCCTCTTTATGTTTGGTGATTCTCTGATCGAAAGTAATTTGGAGGTGTCTGTCCAGGTCGCCGCTCCAGCTCTCCCTCGGTGTTTAGGGGGTATCTTTTCTAACCTTTCACTTCTATGTAAGGCTGATTTCTTATAGACAGCATGTAGTTGGGGCTTGTTTTTCTCTTTGCTCTGACATTTATATTTAATGTAGTTATCAAAGTGGCTTATGTTTAAAGTGACCATTTTGCCAGTTTTTTTTTCATTTTACATGAATTAATGTAGTTTTTATTTATTACGCTTAATTTCTACTATGCAAAATATCAGTTGTTATAATCCACACAAACACAGTTCTTTGGGGGAGGTTCTCAATAATTTTTTAAAATGTAAAGGATTCCTGAGACTGAAAGGTTTGAGAATTGCTCAGTTGAACTGTTTGGGCTCAGATCTCTGCTGGGGCCGTCAGTCTTGACGCCACACGTGCTGCTGAATTCATAAATCTAACGCAGCGGATCGCGTTCTCCCTGAGTGAAAGCCTCCAGAGACCCACCGTTCTCTACAGAGTAAGTCTGCTCACCCCGCTGGCACGTCAGGGTGCGTTAGGTCTATGATTGCGATCCAGTTCACACTTCAGTCTTCTTCCTCGCGCTTGATTGCTCTCAGAAACTCTGCCCTTCAGGCAGCGGCTTCCCCCAAACCCTGCGTCCTTTCCAGCCCTTTGCCATTTGTGAAAGCCATTTTCTTATTGTCAAAATACGTCTCTTCCATAGTGACCTTTCTAGCATGCACCAGAGTCTGTCTGTCGTCAGGTATTGACATACAGGCCTTAGATGCCTTTATAATAAGCAGGGAGCACTGCACCGCACAGTCCACCGAGGTTTGTAACACTCTCTCCCGTGTGCTGCCCCTGTTCCTCCTCCCAGCATTCAGTGAGGCAGGCAAGCCGGAATGGGTTTGTCTGCGGCCACAGAATGATCGAGTGCAGACGTGGTCCTGAGCAGGTGAACCTGAGCCTCTGACGCACTGAGCACAGGGACCTTCCTGCTGTCACACCGTCGGCAGATAGAGACTCTGCGTCACTTCCACCCGCCCTTTCCCACTGCCTGCCCCCGTTACCCGCGGGGAGGCAGTGGTGTGCTCTGTCGTGTGTGAGCGCCCTGGCCTGGGAGGTGCGAGTGGCTGCGGCTCCAGGTGGACACCTGCCTTTCCTGATCTTCCTTCTGCGCTGGCTCCTTGCCCGCGTGGCTCCGTGGCTCCCAGAGGTCATCTTGGAGCTTTTCCCTCCGTGGCTGTCACCCCGAGGGCCAGATGTTAGTGTAAATTGTCTGTTTAGAAGGTGTCAGCTGGGTTTTTTGATTTACTGAACTTTTTACTTGTATTATGTATGGTGAAAATTTTGCAAAAGACACTTATTTAGTAATTTCGTTTATTTCAGGCAGTATTTGGCAGTTGTATTCAAAGATAAACCGCTGGAGTTATGGGATGTCAGGACTTGTACCATTCTTAGAGAAATGTCCAGAACCTTCCCCGGGGTAACCGCTTTGGTGAGTTACAATTTAAGAACTAGACCGTTCACTTAGGTGTGTGGATGTGTGGTGGATAGTTTTCTTTAGCTTAAATTGAAATCATTATTGCCATGTATTTTCTTGTAAAAATGTATGTCCAAAGAAGATGATCTAAAGAAGATAGCTCGTATTCTTGGATGTGTTAAGCTAATATTACATTAGTGCAAGTCCAGATGTTTGAGGAGCAGGATGGATAGCACAGTGCTACTTATGTAAGTTACAAATGCGTACAAAATAGCTACATGCTACACCTATATAATAAAAGCCTAATATGCTAAGTGTTTGGTTGTCCGGTTGGCCATTCAACCAATCAAAGCATAATATGCTAATAACTAGGGGCCCAGTGCACAGATTCGTGCACCTTGAAAGGAACTATGGGTCACGAGGCTGCGGTGGGCACAGGGGCAGGTCTCGGCTCATCCTTCATGCCTCTGCCCGGTCCCTCCTGCTGCGTCCCTGGTCCCCTGTCTGCCGGCAGCCCTACTCCCGCTGCCACCACTCCCACGCACTGACGGTGTGGAGCGATTGGGGCCAGTGCCAGTAGCGGGTGTGAGCGGCAGCTCCGGCGCCGGCAGCAGATGTGAGAGGCGGCTGCCGGCCCTGATCGCTCCTTAGGAGCAGGGGAAGGTGGAGAAGCCCTGAGGGGCCATCGGGGCCGGCAGCCACCGCTCGCATCTGCTGACGGTGCCGAGTGATCGGGGTTGGCACTGGGCGCTGGCAGCGGGTGCTAGCGGGGCCGGTGCCAGCAGCAGGAACGAGCACCGGGCGCGACAGTGGTGTGCGGGAGCCAAGAATTTTCAGTAACCACAGAGGCTCGCCCCAGTGACAGCGACCGGTGCCCCGCCTTGGACTGGTGCCCCTGCTCACCTGCTCCACCATCCCGCCACAGCTGATACCCGCCATGTTCCACGCTCTGCCGCCTGCTGCCAACGCCTGCCATGTTCTGCGCACACTGCCTGGTGGTCAGCGCACATCATAGTGACCGGTTGTTCTGCCGTTCAGTCTATTTGCATATTAGCCTTTTATTACATAGGATAGGATATGCTAAGACAGCTCAACCGCTTGCTGTGACGTGCACTGACCACCAGGGGGCAGACACTCCAACCAATAGGTTAGCTTGCTGCTGGGGTCCAGCCGATTGTGACTGAGCGAGATGGGCTGGACATGCTCTGGAGCCCTCCCACGGTCACTCCCTGACTGGCCAACCTTCCATGTCCCTCCCCTGCCCCGATCATGCACCGGTGGGGTCCCTTGGCCTAGCCTGCGCCCTCTCGCAGTCTGGGACCCCTTGGGGGATGTCGGAGAGCCAGTTTCGGCCCAATCCTGCAGGCCAGGCTGAGGGACCCCACTGGTGCATGAATTCGCGCACTGGGCCTCTAGTTTATACATATGAGAAGGTATTAGACTAAGTGCATTAAAGTAGGTAGGCATGTAACAGGAGCAGTAAATAAAGCGAGAGGTTGGAGGTGGACCTGCGGGTGATGATGCAGTGAGCAGAGAACACCGTCCTCTCTCCCTGGCACCAAGGCTGTGGGGTGGAGGGTGGGGCTAGGAGATACACCATTGACTTTATTACTTTCAGTTCATAAAAAGATAGTATCAAAGGGTTAGACTTTTTAGAAGTTTGCCATTAAATTCTTCTACCTTAAGCTCTAATTAAAGATGAGAGGTAGCAAGAGGTAAAGGTAGATTATGAAAATCGTCTGCCTTAAGCTGTAATGAAAATGCATTCATTCAGCCTTTCTGTAAAGAGGCACAACTGTGAGCTCATGGGCAGCAATAGTAAGTGACGCTTATTAATTATAATAATTGATAATAAGTGCTGCTCTGGAAGGACACTGAGCACGTGCCGGGGTCTCGCGTCACAGGAGTGGTCCCCGTCTCACAACCTGAAGAGCCTGAGGAAGAAACAGCTGGCCACCCGCGAGGCCATGGCCCGCCAGACCGTGGTCTCTGACGCGGAGCTGAGCATCGCAGAGTCGTCTGTGATCAGGTGCGTGTGCCCTGCGCCACTGCCACCAGTGATGCCCGGGTCACCGGGGGAGCTTGACCAGTGCCCTCCGAGGCTGTCCCGAGGCCCCGCTGCCTGGTTGGTGTTCAGTCCTCACCCAGCTTCCTGTGTCGTCGCTGCCGCACCGCTCAGTGCAGTCAGTGCCTTCGTCATGTCCCTCCGTGACATGACCGTTCTGTTCCAGACACGTCCGCTCCTGACGGTAAAACAAGCGTAGCCTTGAACATACAGAGATCATGTTGTCATTGATGTGCACCAAAGAAAACATTCAGAATTCTACATGTATAATTGTTCTCACCCATCCCCACCAGCTTTCCAAATAAAACCGTCCCAGAGAATGATGGGTCAGGGAAGGGCCCCCACCACTGCGGAGAGAGCCTGTAGCAGAAGCAGCGAGGAGGGGTCTCCTGTGGGGACGGAGGCTGCTCCTCCCCGCGGTGCATGTCCTCCCCGGAGGACACTGGGGAGTGGTTTGTGTTTTCCTGTTATTGGCTTCAGCTTTTTTAAAAATGGTTTTGGGGTCCCCCCCCCCTTAATGCATCTGTGTTTTGGATGAGTTAATTAGTCAAGGTGTCACTCTAAGGCAGGGGTCCTCAAACTACGGCCCGAGGGCCACATGCAAATACAAATATTGTATTTGTTCCCGTTTTGTTTTTTTACTTCAAAATAAGATATGTGCAGTGTGCATAGGAATTTGTTGATAGTTTTTTTTTAAACTATAGTCCGGCCCTCCAATGGTCTGAGGGACAGTGAACTGGCCCCCTGTTTAAAAAGTTTGAGGACCCCTGCTCTAAGGAGATGAAGTATTTTTATCTCATTTTACCCCACAGCTTGCTGCAGGAGGCGGAGAGTAAATCTGAGCTCAGTCAGAACATCTCGGCCCGGGAGCACTTCGTGTTCACCGACAACGACGGCCAAGTCTACCACTTCACCGTCGAGGGGAACTCCGTGAAGGACAGCGCTCGGATCCCACCCGACGTGAGTCCAGCCTCGAGCACGTCTTTACTGAGCCTTCTTGTCAGAGATTTTGTTGGTTCCGTACCCAGTGAAGCCATTAAGCTGTTTCAGAAAAATGTAATGTAAGTAAGTTCAGTGTCTAAGGAGGCACTGTCACTGATGGAACTTGTTCACGCGGCCGTAGCATCACAGCTGTGTCCAGTGCTCCGTGTGCTGCTTCCCTGGAGAACTGACCGTGTGGGCTCTTACACTGCTCCGTAGAAGCCAACACAAGATACTTTTTAATAAAGAAGTAATGGAGCAGTAATATTATTTAATGGCTAATGTGTGTGGGCCCTGTACTGTGTGGCAGGCGTTATTTTAAGGCCTTGACCTGTATACTTTTATTAATACTAATGGGAACTCCTAAGTTTCATGACTTGCCCCACTTTATTGATGATAAAATCCAAGACAGAAAGACGAAGTAACACGCCCAAGTCACGCAGCAAGTTCAGTGTCAAGTTGGGGTTCCAGCCCAGGCTCCTCGGCTCCACCCCACAGCCTCGGGGTCTGTGCTGCCGCTGCAGGTCCTCTCCCTCCTCAAGGGCCAGTCGTGTCTGCCTGACCTGCCTCTGCCGTGCCCGCTTTGCACGGCTCTGGGTCCCAGTGCGCAGGTGCCTGTGCGGGTGCAGTCTCTTCACCCCCACTGTTCCTGGGGCCACAGGCTGGACCCGCTGCCTCAGTAGAAAAATCGCTGCCGGTTGTTGTGAAACCACTTTGGCTTCCCCTGGGGATTTCTGTCTCCTTTGCAGGGAGAGAGAAGGTGGAGACAGAGCTCTCGGTCAGGGCTGCCTTTCCTTCTCTTTCTTTTCTCTTTCAATTTCTTTTCTTGCAGATAGTTCTTCCTCCAGGGCATCCCTTCTCTGTAAAGCTAGTTCAGATAACTTCCTATCCATCAAGCCGAAGTCTGGTTTCTCACTGTTGAAAGTGATATGCTAGGTAGCTCTTTTAGTGTTGATTGCATTCATAATAAAGCAAACCATTTATAATTATTACTAAAATGTCATTATTTTATCAGGGTTATTAAGTAAAAACATTGTTCTGTTATGACAGCTCATGAGTGGAGTTTATGTGTACTTGTTGCTGTTCTTTTCTAGGGAAGCATGGGTAGTATTACCTGCATTGCTTGGAAAGGTGATATGTTAGTCCTTGGAGATATGGACGGAAATTTAAATTTTTGGGATTTGAAAGGCAGAGTATCCAGGTATGAGCTCAGAATGCATTCTTGTTATCTGGTTTTTTAAAAAAGTAACCTCTTGATATGAGTCTCCTGTCACTGAACTTGGGAGGAAGGCCCTGGGCCGAGCCAGCCTCTGGGTCGTTCATCCCTGCAGGGGGTCCATGCAGAGGCGCAGGGACATTATCCCAGCTGCTGGGAGGGGCAGACCCTTCTGTCAGGTTGGCCCGTCCCAGGAGGTGAAGTGGCTCTCCCAGCACAGACCTTGTCAGAAACAAATAGAAAGAGACGTTGGACAGTTTCCGGTGTCCATCTCTCCTCACACTGTGCTCTGTGTGTGTCCGCAGAGGGATCCCGACCCACCGCAGCTGGGTGAGGAAGATCCGCTTTGCCCCTGGGAAAGGGAACCAGAAGTTAGTTGCCATGTACAGCGACGGAGCTGAGGTGTGGGACACCAAGGAGGTAGGTCCCGCTTGGGCGCCGCGGAGGGAGCCGCCGCTTCAGCGGTGACTGCGTGGTGGGCTGTCAGACTGGGAACAGTTTCCTCCTCTGACATGTCCCTCACAGAGTTTTTGTTCCAAAGGGGACAGCTCAACGGACTTTAGATGTTATCACTGCCTTTGGGACCTTTAAGGTGCAGCCTGCGTATGGGAGGCAGACAGACGCGAGTCTTCGGTTTTGCCCTGGGCCTTGGCTGTGACTGATCAGAAGATGAGCACCCCCTGCTCTTCCTAAGAGTGACAGCCACATTCATTCCTGAAGGTGCAGATGGTGAGCAGCTTAAGGAGCGGGAGGAACGTGACCTTCCGGGTGCTGGACGTGGACTGGTGCACGTCAGACAAGGTGATCTTGGCGTCCGACGACGGGTGCCTGCGCGTCCTGGACATGTCCATGAAGTCCACGTGCGTCCGGGTGGACGAGCAGGAGCTCACGGGTATGCACTGGGGACGGAGCTTTATTCCGTGCAGGCTCCTCTTCTGGGGGAGAGCGGCTTCTGTTCCTCAGTCCTGGCTTCCCCGGGTCTGAGTGGAAGGGGTTGGAGCTGGGGTGCTGCTCGCAGAGATGCTGGACCCTTGTCATTGCTGATGTCATTCCCCAACTCCAGTTCCCACGTGCCTTCTCTGACCCACTTCTGGGTGCTTTTTCGAAAGATGAGAGAAGTTTGCATTCATAAAAAGGGCTGACTCGGAATTTAGGGGAGCTCATCAGAGGGCACAGCTCTGGGGTGGGCTGCTGCTTCCCAGAGACGAGCCTCATGCCCTGGCAACCCTCTGTCATTGGCAAGTCACTCTGGAAAGTGTTCTGAGTGTTAATGAATGTTGATGCCTATCTTACGACTCTTTAAAATTGAAAACAGCATGAGAGATCAGAAGCAAAGTGGGAGGTCTGTCCTGTAGCCTCGGAGACAAGAGACAGGACAAGCCAGTGCAGGCGGGGCCCTCATCAGGCCCTGGGTTTCTGAAAAGAACGCAGCTCTCGGGCAGGTGAGGATCACAGAGCACTTTTGAATGTGAACTGCATTTTAGGTAATTTCATTGAATCAATAGTAAAACTGTCGGTTGTGGAAAAAGTAGTATTAGAAATACTCTTGACCACTTTCCAACTTTGAAATTGAAAAGTTCACATAAAATATTTTATCTGTGATTTAATTTATACTTAACTACATAGAATGAAGTGTTCTGAAGCAGTGCTGTCCAATAGAAATACAAGGTGCACCACATAAATTTAAATTTCCCGGTACCACATTAAAAAAGAAACAGATGAAATTGATTTTAATAAGAATTGTATTTAAGCCAGTATATACAAAATTATATCATTTTAACATAAAATCATTATTAAAAATCACTAATGAGATATTTTACATTTTTCAGTACTTAGTCTTTAAACTCCAGTGTACTTTCATTTAGAGCGTATCTCAGTTCAGAGGCAGGTTCTCAGCCGAAATGTGTGTTAGTCGTATTTAGAGTTTATAAAACTTACAGCTGAGAGAGTAGTGCTATAGCCAGATTCTTCCCAGTATTCCTAAATGACTGAGCAGGTGTGATATTTTAAACGTAAATTAATTAAAATCAAATGAGAGAAGAGCTCATTCCCTGTGTGACCGTGTTCCCAGTGCTCAGGAGCCAGAGCCAGAGGCGGGACCGGACAGCACAGCGTGGGCTGCGTCTCACTGAGGCAGCCCTGGTGCGGATTCCTGTCATCCCTGTGGGTGCACTTGTCCCCAGGATCCTGGAAGAGGGCTCTGCGGGGTGCGGGGGGCAGCGGATCCCAGAGGACTGTCTCCAGGCGGGAGTCTGGGGGTGTGGGGGGCAGCGGATCCCAGAGGACTGTCTCTAGGCGGGAGTCTGGGGGTGTGGGGCTGAGGGAGTCAGAGTCCAGTCTCTGGGCGGGAGTGTGGGGGTGCGGCCCTGAGGGAGTCAGAGTCCAGCTGTCGGGGTTGGAGCTCTGGATCTCCTGTTGGTTCGCACAGGAACTTACTGAAAACAGGCAGATGGTCAGTGTGTCCTAAGGAAGCCAACCACTGGGTTCGGGATTCCAGGGCCCAGAGGCCGGGAAGATGGGGCTTTTGTTCAAGGGCCCCTTCTCATGAGGCCTGAGCACACACTGGGCCCGAGGGGCCTGGCCCTGCAGCCAGCAGCTCAGGGTGAGGGCCACGCTGGTTCAATGGTCTCAGAAAAGCAGCCATCGAATGGTCAGGTGTGGCACCTGCTGAATCGTTGCGTTGGGTCTGTCACTCGGTGGGATCATTATCCTGTACCACGCAGGGCGCCGGGTCTTTGAAAGAGAAAAATTTTAGTTTGAAGAAGAATCTCTCCACTTGTGTGTCTGAGTGGTGATTATGTCGGCCACACTCTCCCTGCCACCATACTCTGTAAACTGCCTGTAGCTGAAGCTTCATCCTATATAATAAAAGCCTAATATGCTAAGTGTCCAGTCATCTGGTCATCTGTTCAACCAATCAAAGCGTAATATGCTAATGATATGCTAAGGCCTCTTAACCGCTCGCTATGACGTGCACTGACCACCAGGGGCAGAGCTCCAACCAGTAGGTTAGCTTGCTGCTGGGGTCCGGCCGATTGGAACTGAGCAAGATGGGGCAGACACACCCTGGAGCCCTCCCGAGGTCCCTCCCCGGCCCCGATCATGCACTGGTGGGGTCCCTCGGCCTGGCCTGTGCCCTCTTGCAGTCTGGGACCCCTCAGGGGATGTCAGAGAGCCGGTTTCAGCCCGATCCTGCAGGCCAGGCCGAAGGACCCCACTGGTGCACGAATTTGCACACCAGGCCTCTCTAGCAGTCGTATAACAATTGTGTTTTCTTAAAATAACGTGTGTGTGTGTGTGTGTGTGTGTGTGTGTGTGTCCAGAGCCCGTGTGGTGCCCGTATCTGCTTGTCCCAAGAGCCTCCCTCGCCCTGAAGGCTTTCTTGCTGCACCAGCCGTGGAGCGGACAGTACTTGTTGGATATTTCTCACGTGTAAGTGCCTGCACTTCCGTTTTCCTTTGTCATCTCCTTGGGGGTGAGAGTCAGCAGTGGCTGCACTCCAGGACCTGAGAGGGCTGGACCTCAACCACACGAAGCGAGCCGCCAGCCTGCTGGTCCTGGCCCTCGGTCTCCCCGGGGGTGTGCCCGGGGCTGGGTGCCCGTGCTGCCCTCGGCTGCCCTCTGGTCCCCTCACTGTCTGAACAGGCATCATGCGGGTGGAGACGGCCGGTGGAGGCCAAGGGGAATTTGGGGCCAGGCTTCAATCTTTTAAAAGCACCAAGAATGGGCCTAGCTCAGGTGTTTTGTTCTATACATTTCAGTGCCTGCCTCGTTGTGAAAAAGCATCCACAGAAAGGATTGCTAGCAGGTGTGTGTAAACCCACATGTGTTCCTCCCTGCACTTGTGCCGTGTGGGGTGCAAGGCAGGCTTTCTCTCCAGGGGAAGGAACCCCCGATGGGCCAGCGTGCCTGCTCTCGGAGCGTGTCTGCCTGGAAGGGGTGCGCTCTGGTGGAGCGGAGGGCGCAGACGCCGCTGGTCGTCGCTGAACTTGTTATTAACACGATCTAAACCCGCTGGTTTTGGCGCCCACTGATAAGTCTTCTGGTTTCTTGAAATCAGAGGGACTCCCTGTACCCGTTTCTTTGTTTTGACGAAATGAGGCAGAAGCCAACACCAGAGATGATGGGTGGGTCCCTGAGAGCAGTGCTGCTGTTCGGTCTGCAGCCAGTTTTAACCGAGGGCTACAAAGAGGCTGTTTCTCTAATTAACACACTTTTTTTCTGGTGAACAAATAACTGGTTGTAAGTGAAGAAATAAGGAACTCATTCAGAATCTCTCCTGTGCAGGGATTACCCAGAAAATGAAGAAATAAAGAGCCTCCTTCAAGAGCAGTTGAATTCGTTGTCCAAGTAAGCACTCCAGTTCTGTCTTTAGAAGATTAGAAGATGAGATGAGAAAGGAAAGTATCAGTCAGGCTGTTTAAAATGAAGACACGGCGCAGTTCAGGAGACACGCGTGGCCGGGGTTTGTGTCCCTGGAGCCTGGTGGTTGGGAAGTGACTGATCTGTCTCAGCTCGTTCCTGGGGGCCGGGGCCCTGGTCTCCTGTCTGGGCAGGAACAGAGCTGGGGTGAGCGTCCCCTGGCTCAGGCTGCGTCCACCACAAACCCCGTGAGCTCATGCGAGGACATACCCAGGCGGTCTGTGTGCCCACTTCCTGCTCCTGAAGTGGGCTCTCCGTCCAGGGCCGAGCACAGGCCTGGCGAGGAAGTCAGTGCTCCGTCAGCCACGAGCAGGGAGAATTATGTAGGAACAATGTTGCAAAGGAAGTGGAAGCATACGGGTCCACAAGGAGTTCTTAGTAACACCGAACACATGGATGCAATCTCCAGGCTGTTACACCTAATTATCACAGTTAATAAGGTCGCCATAATAGAATGCTTTATTGAGATCAAATGCCAAATATACCTGTTTTCTCTAGGCAAAGGTTACCGTGTTTTTAAATGGAAAAGGATAGATTTAAAGAATATCCCTCCTTTATGAACGTGCTGTATTTGGCTATCTTAGAATATCAGTTTATGAAAACACTGGCCCTTCTTCCTTAAACATTTTACATCTGGAGAGTTTCAGAAGCAAATGCTGAGTGCGCTGCTCTCAGCAGGCGCCGCTCCTGGTGACATCCCCGCTCCTGCACTTGGGCAGCTGCTCCCATTTTCAAAACTGAGTCTAAGTGTCGCAGGGTCAGCCCCGTCAGAGCCTCAGCCCGGTGTGTGACGGACCCTCCAGGCCAGACACGCTGTAGGCTCCAGAGCTCTGTAATGTCAGGGGCGTGGCAAAGGCACCTCTATACGTTCTAAGCACAGCCTTTGAGTGGGATTTCCCATTTCTAGAGCCTGTGATTGATCCCCCTGCTTTATTGCTCAATTAAATGTTTTTTCTTGCCTTTGGATTCGTCTGCAGTGACATAAAGAAACTCTTGCTCGATCCGGAATTCACTCTTCTGCAAAGATGCCTGCTGGTTTCGAGGTAACACTCTGAAGGATTCGGTGCAGAGCCTGGCCCTGTGGCCCAGCTGGCTGAGTGTTGTCCTGGCATCAGGGGTGGCGGTTGATTCCCAATCAGGGCCGGGGCCTGGGCTGTGGGCTTAATCCCCCGAGGGGGCTTGCAGGAGGCGGCCCCGGGATGTTTCTCTCATCGATGTTTCTATCTTCCTCTCCCTTTCTCTCTGAGGTCAATCTTTAAAAACCATATATTTTAAAAAGAATTCTGTGTAAGAGAGAGAATTGGCTAACTTATTTCTTTTATGGATTTTTAGTTAAGACCAAACTCTTAGATTAGAAAAATATATTGTAGTTTATCCTTTAATGACAGTTTTTAAAGTAGTAACAAATAGAATAAACATGACATTTAAACGTGAGAGCTAGGCCTTATCTGTGGAGAAGACTCCCTCCTACAGACAGCGTCTTACAGTGTCAGCTGTAAGGGCGTGCACTTCAGTGATGCCATTCCGATGAGTGACATGAGAGTCCATCACCGGGACTTTCACGTACAGTGGGGTGTCACCTGTGAAAAGACATTTCCCTCCACTCCCCGGAGGACAGTGGACGTTGTCTCCAGACCTCGTGTGGGCAGTTAACCCGGCACCTCCTCCGTGTGCTGTGGCTCCGAGGGGAAGGTGCTCATGCACACGGGGCCCCTCGTGGCCCAGGCTTCTGGATGCGCTGCTCTGGGCACCGCGGCGAGGCCTGGGCTGAGGGACCCTCTGCGTCCAGGCCCCTGTATTGCTTGGCCGGGCACAGGCCTGGAGGACTTGATGCTGCAGCACCTTCTCCGAGCCGGGCACCTGCCCCCCCACCCCCCGGTCACGTGGCAGCACTGAGCTCGGGGCTTCAGGGGCTCTGGGAGCCTGTCCAGGCCGCCTGCCAGGTGGTTCTATGGACGCTTGGCTTTGCCTCCGCAGGCTCTACGGCGATGAGTCGGAGCTGCACTTCTGGACCGTGGCCGCCCACTACCTGCACAGCTGGTCCCAGGAGAAGTCGGCCAGCACCCCCGCTGCACAGGAAGCTGCCCCTCGGGACCGGGCGAGCAACCCGCTGGACATCTGCTATGACGTGCTCTGTGAGAACGCCTACTTCCAGGTGCTGTAGCGCATTCCTACGCGGGTTAGCCCTGCGCGCTGTCTCCTGATGACTTACGTGTCTGTAAGCCTCTTCCCTTGGGAAACTTTGGAACTAAGTTAAAATCCACAAAATAGAATGAGCCCGTGCCCACATTTGCATAAAAAAGGCTGGACCCAGGACTTGAAACGTTTATGAATGTTTCTAGATTTTTTAATACACATTGAAATTTTATTAGCAGTCTTATTTTTTTTCTTTGCCTAAAAATTTTTAACTTAGGTTTGTTCTCTCTCTTTTATTATTTTCTGTAAAGAACAGATATTTCTTTCTCTTGGCTTGAATGTGCTTTTTATATATGAAAGGGCAGCTTCCTGACTTTGAGTCTTCCTGACTTTGAGTCTGTGGTACACTCAGCACTCACAGGTGCTGTCTGAGGGCAGCCTGTGCGAGCGGCAGCCTCACCTGCCCGTCCCAGTCCTTCCAGAAGTCAGTGATGTCAGTATAAATGAAGTTACTAAGTATAGTGAAATTTAAATAATCAAGTCTTTTAATCCAGGTTCACTTCTCCTTTCCCCCCTCTAGAAGTTTCAGCTGGAAAGGGTTAATCTGCAGGAGGCGAAACGGTCGACTTACGATCACACGCGCAAGTGCACGGACCAGCTTCTGCTCTTGGGTCAAGTACGTCAGTTTTTATAGCTTTTCATGCTTCATGGAGTTGCTGGTTGATTCGTATTTCAGTGCATCGCACCTCTCTCTCCCTCTCTCTCTCTCTCTCCCATGCACCATAGCATTTCTCTGAAAGCCTAAGTATAAACGTGGGCTTTCCCTCAAAGTAAGACCAGCACATCTTCTAAGAAAGTGAAACTATTTGGTTACTCAGCTTGTGATCTGGGCCTCATGGTGCTGAGGGAGGCCTCGGTGTGTTCTGTTGGTGGCCGGAGCTGACGGGCACGCCTGAGGGCAGGCGGGTCACGCTGCCCGGAGGAGCAGGAACCCGCTCAGTGTGCATCTCGTGAACTGAGCGTCGGGAGTCCTTGGAAATGAGTCTCCTCTCTCGGCCGTGAGCGTCAGGGTCCAGGCGATGAGCCTGAGGGTGGTGCTGGGGGAGAGTCATTGGAGGAACCGTGTCCCTGCCAGACAGACAGGGCCGTGCAGCTGCTGCTGGAGACGAGCGCGGACAACCAGCACTACTACTGCGACGCGCTGAAGGCCTGCCTGGTCACCACCGTCACCTCCTCCGGCCCCTCCCAGAGCACCATCAAGCTGGTGGCCACCAACATGATCGCCAGCGGCAAGCTGGCAGGTAAGCGAGCTGGGGCCTGTTCACCAGGGCCCTGGGAAGTCAGGCTGCTCCCTGCAAAGGATGAGATCATCAGGGACGTTTCTGCCCTTTTTATGGGTCCTGGAGGGAGAGGAGGACTATTGCTGGCTCTTCAGGAGATAGCTCTAATTTAGTCGCCTGGGCCAGAGCACCTGTCAGGAGTGAAAGGGGCCCTGGAAACGAATGCCAAGACGGTGGGCACCAGTCGGACACACCTGGCCGATGAGACGCCATGCTGACAGCCATGCCGACAGCCAGGGAGTGTGCTTGACCTGTGTGCTTCCTGCCTGGTCATTGAGGGGCGGCATCGTAGAACTTGAGCCGGGGTCTCCAGCAGGTGCAATGACCAGGTGGAGTCAGGTGTGATCTGACTGTCAGCGGTGGACAGAGGGCGTGGGGCTCACAGGGCTGCCCGGGGTCTTCCAGAGGGTGTGCAGCTGCTCTGCCTGATTGACAAGGCCGCGGATGCCTGCCGCTACCTGCAGACCTACGGGGAGTGGAGCCGGGCCGCGTGGCTTGCAAAGGTAGGCGGTTCCCGTGGGTGCCCTGAGTGCTTGGGTAGAAACTTTAGTCTTGAACCTTACACTCGAGATTTAGAAGCAGTTTTGGCTGCAGAGCTGCTTTGCAAATATTTTCTTACAAATCATCCTCCTGCTCTTTGAGCACAGACTGCATTGCTTCTTACTGGGAGATGCAGTTCTCACTGGTGACGGTGGTGACCAGGGTGGCAGCTGGCTCACACACCATGTGCTGGCCCCACGCCCTGCAGGCCGGCCCTGTGCCTCCCAGTCGTGGTCAGCAGCGGCGTCAGGGTGTTGCCAGTGAAGCCACACCCAGCCTTG